ATTTATTATATATAAGTTTAACAAATAGTACAAAAATAAAAATATATAAATTACAAAACCATAGTAAATACTGTATAATAACATAGGCCTAACACATTTAAATTTATTGTTTATAGTCATGCAAAATCGTATTAAAAATGCAATAACTTGATGATTTTTTACGTTTGGTTTGCGGCGTATTTCAATTAACAGTTAAATTGAAATAATTGAGTAATCAACGCACTACATTCACTGAGAGACACGCTTGGCGTTCCATAGAAATGACCGGCGGCTCAACTTGTCGGCGGCTCAACCGGTCATAATCCTCCGGCACCTATTGCAAAATTGAACGTATGTACAGTAGTTAGAAAGTTATCTGCATTTGTTTTTTGCCATCCATTCAAATACAAAGTCTGGGTCTTATTTTGCATTTTTAAATTCATGTTTAGTGAATCACTAAATTCAGTTTATTTAATAACAACATATATCAAACTCAGATTTTTATTTAAAAATTAAATTTTGTTGGGCATTGGACTTCAAAGTATAGGAACATTTAAATTATAGATATGAAAATAAACAATTTTGATAATATTTTCTTGAAGCCTATTTCTCCTCTTTTGTAGCATGCTATGTTGGTCTGATAATGAAACCAATTAATGGATTTGCTAATGCCCCATGCTTTTCACAACATTATTACACATTTTAGGTTTATATTTTGCCACTAACATGCAAAAATTGGGTTGGTAGCAGACTGTCATGGGTTATCCTTGCTGTTCAATCATATCCTCTGAGAAAGGGCTAGCCTATTACTTCCTTTAGACATTTATATTATATAAAAATGACATAAAGGCTGTCATAAATATTGGTTTTTTTTTTTTTTTTAAGTTGGAAGGCAGGGTGGTCATGGCTCTCCTGGTTTGATTGGAACACATCCTGCTGGTTCTAGGTCAAAGGTAAGTAATTTGCTGCATAAATCAACTAGAAAAGTGTTTTAATGGCTGACAAATAATTCAAATTATTCATTCTCTTTTTTTTTTTTCTAATCTGATCTACACAGGCCAGACGATGGGAATATGTTATTCCTGTGGAATTCACAAAGTAATAATAATACAGGTCTCCCTGTGGTCCCAAATTAACCCATTTCTTTCATCTTTATTATTCTATTGAGAGACCAAAGCTGCTAAAGACCTTTCATAACAACAACAACAACAACAATGAAAACAGCAACAATAATGAAAATAATAATAATAATGATAATAATAATCTATTGCTATATAAGTTATTGTTATTAGTGTATCATTCAAAATATTCTATGCACATTCCAAAGATGGGCAAAAATTCTGATCATTAGTTTTTTTCTCTTCTTTTTCTAATCCAATCTATGCAGGGCAAATGAGGGGAGTATGTTATTTCAGTGAAATTCACAAAATCTTAATGATGATAATAATAATGTATTGATTATAAATTATTGTTATGCACCTTACACAGATGGCAAAAGGCATTTAAAAATTAATAGAAATTAAAGGTAATTTAAATGTGAATGTAATCAACTAAATAGTTTTGATTTATCTTTTATTTTGATTTATTTTTTAACATTTTTAAATTGATATTCCTATGTTTGTGGTTTCCAACGAAGGGTTATGACAGCCGATTGCCAAAACAGCCTAAGCCACCAGAAAAACCTCTGATGCCTTACATGCGCTACAGTCGTAGTGTGTGGGATAAGGTAAAACAAGAACATCCAGAGATGAAGCTATGGGAGATTGGCAAGGTGATTGGACACATGTGGAGAGAGCTGTCTGATGATGCCAAACAAGTTTACATCGATGAATATGAAGGGGAGAAGGTATGTAGTGAAATCTAACATACTCATCATTGTCATCATCTCATCATTATCATCATCAGGGATGTAGTTAAGGTGTGCGGGGTCACCCAGCCTTGAAGTTTTCCACCCAGTCTAAAAGTAATTTCATGACCCTCCACCCACCCTTATTAACCCACTTTTCCATCCTTAAAATCAACTCTTATGATTTTGAGTTTACCATTGTTATCGCCCACCCATCCTTAAAATGTCTATCACCCATCCTTAGTTTTCTACAGCTACAACCTGCATCTTCATCATCATCATCATGATAACCATCATCATCGTTGTAATCATCCTCATAAGCCTTGTTGTCATTATCATCATCATCATCCTGAAATAAAACATTATCATCATTGACATCATTATCATCATCAAGTGCTTCTTCAATCCAAGGTTTCATTGCATCATCAATTCGGTTTCATTTCTCAATACTTGTAAGATCTTGTACAAGTTTTAAGGTCCATTTTATTTTTGCCCTCTTCTCTAACACCAGCTTCTTCTTACTATCTGCATATCTCATTTTTATTTTTATCATTTTGGTGAGAGAATAGTCTTTCCTTAACCTCATACTCTTTAAGATTTCCTAGTTGCTAACTAGCTCTTTCCACTGATACTTTTATCAGTCTTCTAAAACACCACTTTCTGAATGCTGGGATCTTGCTATCTACTCTAAAGATGCATGCTGACCTACCAAGTCTCGCGGTGACTGGAGGAAATCGTTTAAGGGTTGGCGCTTTCAAAAGTCTCATGTCTCATGCCTACAAATTTTTGTCTAACTTGCATGTGATAAACAAATTCCATTTTTAATTTCTTGGTGTAGTAAAGTCTTCTTTCTGTTTTAATCTGACCACCTATTTAATACTTTTAAAATGTGATGAAAACTAATCAATAATTTGAATTTTCTTGTTTTTTTTTTTATTATTTTTTTCAAGGCTGATTATAACCTAGCAATTAAGGCTTACCACAACTCATCTGCATATCAAGCCTGGGTAGTAGCAAAAACAAAAGGTAAGATGAGTGATTTGTCCCATATCAAAAGCTTAATACAGTTGAAAAACTCCTACCATACCACAAGAATATCTTTTTAATACTATAACTATAAAGGGTATAAAGGCTTATCCTAGGAGTTAGGGCTGATATTAGGGCCACTGTCAAATACAGTAAATGAAAATAATGTTATGCTGTATAAACTATCATTACAAGGATGTATTGGGTATGTTTTTTGGTCATTAAAATATCCTGTGCTCTCACAGGGCTTAACCACTGGGCTATGAGTCTACTATAAGATATACAGTACTATGCTTTTTAAGCTTAACATTAACACATGAACAATATATTTGTGATTTGATCTGTTCATTTTTTTAAGAGCATATTGAATAAATCAAATGAAATTAAATACAATATAGTGTATTGGTCATGAAATAAACTGTATAAATTATGATATAGAAATACTCTTTCTTTATGCTTTGAATACCCATAAAATTGGCTGATAATAAATTCAAGCGTTTCTATAGTGAAACCTCACACAGTAGTGGCATATCGGTTGTGGTGGTGCGTAGGAAGTGTGCACTTATCCAAAAAAGCCCCAGAGCAATGAATATGCTAAATATTTCAGAATCACCTCATATGCCCTTATTTTGCCATCTGTTTACCCCCTCATTTAATCAATGAGTCCCTGTTCAGCCTTCATGTCCTCCAGTCAGCCCTTCCCCATGCCAAAATGTTTAGATATGCCACAACACGGACAGTATATTTGCAAAGCGTTCAATCTACACTATCACTATCAGGTTTTATGTGACAAATACCTTGATTTGCCCATATATAGGTATGATATGACATCATCATGCCCATATATGGGTGTGATATGATATCATCATGCCCATATATGGGCAATTTAAATTATTTTTACGTAAGGCTTGTTACTATAGGAGCAGATTTTGAACCAAGTTTGTATTTTATGTTTTGCCAAAATAATAGATGAATAATTAAAGTTATGTTCTTTAGCCCAACAGCAATCTGATGATCCTGTACAGCAAAGGCCAGAGGCAAGGATGAGTATTCAGCCAGCTGAAGATGATGAGGGTAATAAATTTTATTAACCCCTACTCATCTCGAAAGATGTACTGGGTTCTTTAAAGTGCACATGAGCATTTGTGTACGCTAAGCCTACGGTTTTAGTCCTTATCCGAGAAGACTTGTTCCACCACCAGAACTATAGGAGCGAGCCGGCCGCGAATCCGTGCCGATATTGTTGGCTATGAGCACAGTGCCCCTGCCTCAACCGCTCAGCCATTTTGGCTCGCTCAAACAGTTTTTTAAACATTAATAAATATATTAAGCATTATAAATGCACTGGCGGTGGCATGAGGTGGGTCAATAATTGTTAAAGTGGTTGGCGCATCGATTGAGGCTTGGAATCCCAACCTTAAGGTCAGAGGTTGAAAACTCTGGCTTTGCAGGTCGCTTTTGTCCTTGGGCAAGGCACGTTATCTACGTTTGTCTCTCTCTACCCAAGAGTACAAATGGGTATTTGGTAGGATGTTATGCCATTGAATGTACTAGTTTTGTATGCACTAGTCATACACCCCAGGGAGCAGAGAGGGTAATGTACTATGTGCTGGTTTGCCATTGTATGTTATGACCAGGGGTAATAACCCTAGCGCCTTTGATCATTCGGTTTGAAATTGGTGCCTTATAAATATTTGGGTATTATTATTATTATTATTATTATTTTAGTGCATGGGCAAAACAACAGGCCAATGGATCACTAGGTAGCTGTTGTTTATTGTGGTCAGAAATAATAAAATTATCTCCCAGAAGCTAACAAGTTCGTGAACAGTGTTGTACATTTCTGACATCTTGGTTACAACTCATATCAAATTATAGTTAATTCTATTTTACAGTGCTACATATTCTGATTGTGGATTGTAAATGTGCTTTGCCTAATTAGTTTTTACTATTCCAATTAAAGTCATTGCAAACGATGTCATTTCTAAATTTAGATCAAGATGATGGATTTTCAGTAAAACATGTGGCAACAGCCCGTTTTCAAAGAAATCATCGTCTCATTGGCGAAATATTCAGCGAAATCGCCGTACCCGACCCTCGCTCTGTGATAACAGAAAATCGAATGGATATTCTGAAAAAACAAGTCAAATCGCTAATCCTCCACCAGGTAAGATGTCAACTCTAACGACGCATGTATGCTGCTTTTGCTATTTCATAGTGAACTTGTGTGCTTTATAAATCTTATTATAAATTGGAATAAATATTGTTATAATAAATTTATCTCCCAGGAGCTAACAGGTTCAGGAACAGTGGTGGACGTTTCTGACATCTTGATTACCACTCGTATTAAGTTATAGTTAATTAAATTTTTCAGTGGTACATACAGGTATTCTGATTGTCTGCAGTTTCATAGTGGATTTGTGCACTATATAAATCTTATTATGAATCAGAATAAACATTGTTATATTTCTTGTAGTAAGTTTGTTAAAAATTATAGTAGAGATAGCGGTTGAAGGTATTATATGACTCTGTCATGTTATAATATAATAGAAGAAAGTAAATATAAGATAAGTTACTATATTAAAGATATACTACATAGTCAAATATGAAAAAAAAAAAAAAAAAAAATTCAATACAAAAAATATTTTATTTAAAGTAATTAGTAAAGTTCAGTGAAATACAGAAAGGAATTCTAAATTCACTAATTCACATTATGAATGTTATTTTTTACCATAATCCTTACATTGATTACTAGCAGATTTATGGTTCTATGCAAAAGAAGACAAAGTAATTTTATATTTACTTCACTTTTAAGTAATGTTTACAGTTTTCTCCTGGTTTCTGTTTTAAACAGGTTATCTGTTTTAACAGGTGCATATAGTGTTATATTTAGGAGCCTTGAAGTGGAGGGGGTGTGGGGCGTGGGGGCTGATGATTAAGTGAGGGGTGACATGCCACTCCTCCCACTTGCACTATATACTTGTATATTTTTATTATTTTGTAATTTTCAAGGACATTTTTTTTAAATTTTTATATTTTCAATTTTAAAAAAAGAAAAAACTTGAAGGGGAACTCCAGCAAATAGAAGATAAATTCCAAGAAAAGAAGCGCAAGTTCAAAGAGAATAGCAATGAATGGCATGAGACTATAAAAAAGGTAACCAATCATTTTACAGCATTTCTCGGTTTCGGTACATACCTGTATATTTATAGTAGGTGGGAACTGTTAGCGTAGCAGTTGCATTTTGGTCTCTGAACTTTGAGATCGCGGTTTGATTTTATTCAATCATTTTTATTTATTAGCCAAGCAAATTACACACGCGTACTACCTTACATTGTTTTTAAGATAATTAATACATAGCATTGTTATATATATTATATGTTATATATGCTGTTCCATCATAATGGTAGAAAATGCATTCTATATATATACAATACAAACACATTCAAGTTAAACACGTTGATGTAAGATATGATTTGTTTGGTTAATCTTGTTTTCAACAGAGGAACTCTCCCTCAAGGAGACACATTCAAAGTTTAAAGTAGTAAACCTTTATTATTTACATATGTCTTGTTTTATTGAAGTTGTGTGCGGAGAAAGTTGAGATAAAATGGGATGAGATTTATGCTGAGATGCCACCTATCTTTCCTGTACAAGCTCCACGAACAATGGCGGCACAGGCAAACGCCACACTCGCCTCAGATCCGTCCAAATCGCAGCCAGGTTCATCTATCACTGATGAGAAAGAGGACACCAAGACTGGAGAGGCTGACAGTGTTAAGATGGAAGGCTTAAGAACAGAAGAGGAAACTGGCGAATTGGAACGTGATCCCCCCTCGGAGACCACCATAGACAGTAGTACTCCAGATGAAGCTGCTAAAGCTTCGCTGGAACCAGAGATGGAAGCAGAGAAGAAAGAAGACTCAGAACCTATGGAAGTGGAGGAAGAGAACAAAGCTTCTGAAGAAGAAGTTTCACCTCCAGCATTGAGTTCCTCTGAAGCCACCGACTCTAAAGATGTAGAGATGAGTAAGTACTTGGTAAATTTCCAAATTCATATTTAAAGTTTAAGAGTGCCATTTTCATAAGTTTTCTTAACTTGGCCTAAACAATGGTGGAGCTGATGTGGTCTTAATCCCCTATCTCTGAAATGTCCTGCTTGGACCCTCTCTTTAAAATTCCTGGATCTGCCACTGTTATCAATTCCATTGTTAATTTTGAACCGATAGATTTATAATATAAATCTATCAGCTCAAAATTAACATTACTACTACTTATTATGAAGTCGCTGTTTTATAGCCAGAATCAGAAAGGAAACATGGATAGTACTATAAGTTAAAGTTTACATATTTTAAAATGTTTTTCTTTTTTTTTCTTTTTTTTTTTTTTGGCTAGATATTGAAAATGATGACAAGCCACCAGTATTGAGCCCATCATTGCCAGTCAAAGATGAATCAGACGACAAAGTCCCCATTGATGAAAAAGCAGACGACAGTGACCAAACCACTTTAATGGAAAGTGGAGAAGAAAAGAAAACTGAAAATGAAGACTCTGGAAGCAGTAATAAAGAATCACTAAAGGAAGATGAGAGTAAATTGAGCAATGAAAGTAAACTAGATGAAAAAGTTGAACAGGACACTGTAACTGAAGATAACAAACAACCAACAGATAAACCCACTGTTGAAGGAAAAGAAGACCAATGATAGATATTTAATATGTTGCATTGATTTATCATCTTGTCCAGTTCACAATAGGTAAAATGCTACATCGGACACATTCTAGGAACAATTTAACAATCGCACAACCGGAGGCGCGGCGGCCGTATGCACCCCCCTCCCCGCTAAATTGAAGGCGGGAAGTGATAATGATTCTAGATATTGATGTGACCCCGCCAGTATTCTATTTGACATCCCCATCCTCCAGCCAAATTGGTACATTTTTGCATACCCTGTACCTCAGTGGTAATCCTGGATACCGTTTTGAATCTTCCCCAGCTCCGTTGCGTCTGAGTGCAGGTGCATCTGTGTAAGTTTAGCATTCTTTCTGTGCAAGTATTTTGCAAGAAAACAGACATCCCAGAGGCCTGTGACAGTTTTGAAAGGTTTATCTATATGCTTGGTACAGCTTATTCTTACTGTGGATTTGCTCATTTCTTGTCTGCATATCAAATTCATGATGAAGACAGTGCTGGACTGTAATATCTGACTGTATAACATATTTTGCCCTTAAAATGTTTCAAAGTACCTTTTTTCAATTAGTCTGTGTATGAACGTTTTTTCCTTTTTTCAAGCTTCTTTTAACCTAATAGCCATCTACCATGAGTAACACAATCATTCGCCTCACCGTCACCAACTATATCCGCCTCACACGAGTGTGATGCAAGTATGCATAAAAACAGATTGTATAAAAAATGATACTTAACATTATTAGCTGTCATTTGAAAATGTTACATCGTCAAATAATTTACAGTATACATAAATAAAACCATTTCTGGATTTTTTACATGTACACTTGGATTGACTAATAATCAGTTGAAGAATTTTTGTAGTAAAATGTCTGTAATTGCAATTAAATGTTTTAATCTGTGTCTCATTTCTTATCTAGCTTGGTTTCCATACAATCACTACACTGTCGCAATAGTGTTTTCAGTGCAATCGTATTACTGCGTGGCAGTCCTCGACACAATCAGGAAGGCTCCCCAGTTTGAATGACCAGTCAGCATCACCCAAACCTGTTGGCGATAATGTGTAGCGATTGTATGGAAACCAAGCTTTAATGTCTAAGGTAACATTTACAATGGACTATGTGTCGGGAAAATGCTCATTGACGAAAAGCTCTATAATGGTTAGTGAGGTATTGTACAGACCTTCGAATATTTATAAACTGTGAGGAAAAAATGTGAAAAATGTATTCATTTGAAGGTCTATCTTGATAGGTTATTTCCTCTCCCCTCTGAATTTCAGTAAAATACAGTACACCGTACTTATTCGAATAAACGCCACACCACCCCCACCCCCTTCAACCAACATTGATTAACCAGCCCTTGAATAAATGCACCTTTTTGAGCCTCATTTGGAATAAATCCCTCCTTTGAATAAATGCCCTGAGGCCAGTGGTGGCTCCAGAAATTTTCTGACTACTGGTCCGACATCCCCGACAGCGGGGACCAAGATCCCATAGGAGCTACGCCACTGAGTAATTGTATTCCGTTTAAAAACATTCCGGTTTGCTGTGAGCTCCTCTAAGTAATTTTGTTGGACCAATAGTAGAAGCTATTTCAATTCCAAGAAGATGGTCAAAGACACATTATCTTATCAACTGACTGGTTGTGACTTATAAAAGTACCTGGTTGAATAACCTGGTTCAATTTGTTCTAATTGATCAGACTGATGTCAAGCACGTTCTCCATACTAGAACAGCATATAGGCCTCCTAATATTCTTATAACATACCCTATGACTAGTGTATCAAGACCAGAATGACGTAATTGTTTCAGAGAAAGTACAGTCGTCGTTTGATTTTGATACAAGATAATGTCATAGTTACCAACCCGAGGTTTGAAATGCGTGACTACACCAGTTGGGTAGGAAGGGGCCGCCAGGGCCCTCGGGTCCAGGGTCGGAACCCCGGTCTGGGCTCCAGTATAATCAATGGTTGATTGTGACAATGAAAGGACAATACCGGACGCGACTACTAGATTCTACTGTGCGTGGTTGACTGGGTTGTTTTTATTCGGGAAAGAAATTTTCTCGTTAAATTGATTCTCGAACGAGATAACGGAAGCTCTCTAATGACTCGAGCTACTGCATGACCTTTTTATATTTTTATTAAAACCAATTTCTTCTAATTCTAAATAAATTTTCCCCTGAATTTGTGATAATGCGTCACGCATAGACTTGTGCTAAATGCGTGACATAAGCCATCAGGAATATGTTTCTGCAAAATGCGTGTTTCATCCAAAATCACTTTAAAATATGCGCGGGACCGTCTCGCATCGTGCGGTAACTATGTAATGTACCTGAAATTGCCATGATAGGCTCTCACTAATAAACACCCCTAAGACTTGGGAATAATACAACGTACCTGATTTATTTATTTATGTCAATAATAAGTGGGTCTTACAACTTATTACCATTTCACAAGTATTATTGTCATTTAGGGATATACCGTATTCAGTGGCGGATCCAGGGGGTGGGGGAGGGGTTCAAGGGTTTCGGACGAACACCCCTCTGTGAAGAAACGTAACAGAATACAACTGGGTCCTTACAAAAGGCATGCTAACCTACCTAGGCATAGGTTGGAAGATCAGACAAACAGGCTTAGCCCAACTAGTTTTCAATTAAATAAATTATACACACTGTTTTTGGCTTCCGTGGTAATAATTTATGTACGAAGTGCGTTTCTTCAGGCCTATCGGTTCATCGATCCTGGGAAGAAAGACTACATATCTAACTATTCCATGTTGTTGGAATATAATAATATATTGCCTGTCTTTGATTTTTTTTTCTCTATGATAGGCCTAAAGAATGAGATAAAATTACCTGGCCTTTCAAGAGGGGCAAAACCTTGAATTTTGAAAAACTTAAAGGTCATTAAAAGACTCCTCAGAAGTCGGGAAAGCTCATTTCCGGCCATCTAGGAATCAAATTTTTTCGGGGAGGACCCCAGACCCCTTTTCATCTTGGGGTTGTTTTTTTTTGGAAACATGAACACCCCTCTTTTAAATCCTGGATCCTATAAGGCGCCAAATGTACTTTCATTATTTAACAAAATTATACACATTTAATTCATTATTTAATATATAATTTGTTCATTATGTACATATAATTAGTTGGTGGAGCGATTTTCATTATTTATAAATTATTTAAACTAGCAAAACATTATTTATATATAATTTGAACTAGCCAAACATTATTTATAAATAATTGAAGTGTCAATAGCCATTATATATAAATAATGATTTTACTTAGTCATTATTTATAAATAATCATTTTAACATCATATTACTTATAAATAAGGAAAATCGCTCCACCAACTATTTATATATAATTGTTCGAAGAAAACTAATTATATGTAAAAAATGTATCTACATC